TTAAGAAAAAGGGAATTTCGCATAATCAAAGAAAGATTATCGAATTAGAGAAATTTATGTTACTACGGTAACAATATCATATTATGCTGAACAAATTATTGTATTAAAAATTATTGAAATTAGATTATAAGTATTTTACTTTTTGTTATTTTGAATTGTTAATTATTAATCAATATTTCTCATTCATGAGAAGAACAAAATAAAAGAGTCTTTGTTATTATTATTACTAATTATATTATCTTAGTTCTAAAAAGTTTTACACAAGTATAGAATCACTCTTTGAATTTTTTTTATTATTCTTTATACTCTTTCTCCTCTTTGACCTTCACTCTCTCATAACTCTCTTATATTATTATTTCTTCTCAAGTAAATATAATTTTCATGGAAATTGGCATAGGTCTTAAATATCTCTCTTTTTTCTTAATATTTTCTTTATCAGTTTATACTCTCTTCCAATTTAGATTCTTATTTGTAAGCTAATTTTATAATTAATGAACAAACTTGTAACAATAAATTAGAAATGATTGCTGATTATTGATTAACTTGTCAAGTTTTAGAACTTTTATGGACTGCTGTAGGTTGTGCAATTCATATATATATATATAAATATCAAATTAAACTATCAAAAATAATGAATTGCAATAATAATTTAGTTAAAGTTTGGTATCTTTATTTTGTTTGGACAAAGCTCACAAAGTTAGAATATAAAATAGAAATTATAATTGGCAATTTAAAATATTAGAAGCTTTTTCACTACTTTTTTCAGCATTTGAAAAAAATTAATATGCAGAATCAGTTATTTATTTTCTTGCACAATTACATGAAAATACAGAATTACAATCTTTACTTCAATTAGTATATTCAGTTAATATTTCTCAAGATGAATACTATTATGTATTTGATGAAGTCTTGGAAATATTAGAAGTAAAATTTGTAAAAGAAAACAGCTAATATAATAAATCTTGATACCTTAAAACTTGAAATTAAATCAGTACAAGCTGAATGTGAATGATTAGCAACTTTCTTGTCAGAATTTGTTAATGATCATTCTGAAAGTCATGAAAATCATTCAATTCAAATAAGAAATGAAAAAATATATAAACTTTCTATGAATTTAATATTAGCATTTGAAATATGAAATCCTAAAGATCATTATTTATTTTCTACTGCTCAAGAATTAACAGAACAAGGATATCAATATCTTTTTAATCTTTATAATAATGAAATTCAAAGAACATGAGCTATTTTACATCAAGATGTTTATGATCTTGAAGATCGAATTACTATTGAATAATGCAAATGGAAAACAATAAAATATAAATATAATGATCTTAAGAAAAAAAGAAAAAGTGATAATGAAATTGAGAATACAAAAAGCAAGGATAAAATACAAATTAAATATCAGCAAAACGTCAAAAAATATCAGAAAATTTATCTAAAACATTACCTAAAACTTGATGACAAACTACAACTAAGAAAAAAGAAATTTTGAATCAATTTTTATTATATTCTCAATTAAATGATCAAATTATTAATGAAATTCAGGAAAAAATTCCTACTTGGAACAAAAAATGACTTAGAAATTATTATTATAATAATCAAAATAAGAAATAATATCAATTATAAATATGGCGAAATTTATTATTATGAAAATCAAAATAAGAAATAAGATTGATTATAGATATAGTGCAATTTATTATAAAATAATAAATTAGATTAATTACTTCAATAAGATTATAGATAGTACAAGATAAGGTTATAAATATAGCATATATTTTTTTATTTTAAACAAATAGTAAATTCCAACTGCGAAATATTCAAGTGCATATCTTCTTAAATTTGATTATCAATTTAAGGCTTGATAATGGTAAATAATCTGATATTGAAATGACCTATTATATAGTCATCTGAATTTAGATCATTTGCAAATGATTCATGACCAAATGATCTGGGTCATTTAGGCTATTTGATCATAACATAGAAAAATTGATTTGTGTATTGGGAGCTATTAATATAATTAGTTACTTCTTTTTTTATGTTATACTAGAGTGATGAATAGAGATACTACGTAACTTTTCCATAAAGACTTGGCCAAAATCATAATCCAATTCATAGCATAAGTCAAATACTCAAAATAACGAGCATCTGCGCAAATAACAAAAGTAGACGTCAAATCATTAGCGTCAATTTTGGTAGAAATTATAAAGTTATTGTTCTAGTTGAGCTGATTCGTTTGTTGATTTACTCATTGAAAATGAAAATTAAGAAATACAAAGATTTATCAGAATTGATTAATGCTAATGAGAAAGATGATGTAGCAAAACTGAAAATATCATCATCACCTGCTAATAAAACAAATTTGGCTAATCCACTTATTTATTTATCACAAATTGGAGTTATCGTGTTGGTTGAGTTCTTTATTGAAGCGGATGCTAAAAAAATATTAATACGTTGTAGTTTATAATGTGCATTTTTTTTAATCGTTCTGAAAATAGAAAACTCACCTTTAAATATCATCTTTCAAATCGGGCATAGTAACACTAGTTCCCAACACGTAGTAGTAGTAATACTTGTATTTTTATTTGTGTATTATTTTTTTAAGAAAGAAAATATACTCACATATCAATGAATACGGGGGGATGTGTTATTCGATAATGAATTTGAAGTGAAACTATAAAAAAGAGTTTTTATTGTACTTATTTTTTAAAAAAGAAAAAAGAAAAAAGAAAATATACCTGACAAAATAAAACCAAAGAATTAAAATATGCTTCATGTATTGTCATACTTCGGAACACTGTATTTTGAGATAATGAACTGCAAATTTATTAGTACATGTAATAAAAAAAGCTAAGCAAAATCATACAAAAAAAATTAAAAATATTTAGTCTATTTCAGAATTTGCTGTGCTTCACATATTGTTGTACTTCGAATAGTAGTTGCTTCGCGTATTGTTGTTGTACTTCGAATAGTAGTTGCTTTGTATATTGTCGTTGTGCTTCGAACAGTGATTACTTCGAAAAGTAGTACTTCAGACAACAGTTTTTCGCATGTTTTTGCTTTATGTATTGCCGTACTTCGGAAAGAAAAAAATTTATTCGTAAAAATAAAAAAGCAAGGCAAAAAATTAAAAATATAAATACTTATTCCGGGATTGCTGTGCTTCGCATATTATCATTATGCTTCGAATGGTGGTTACTTCGGGAAGCTGTGCTTTGTACGGCAGTTGCTTCACGTATTGTTGCTTTGCATATTTTGGAACGTTGGTGCTTCAGATAGTAGTTTGCTAAAGAATTGAGAATAACGATAATATTGAGAAGTGTGATAATCCGATAATAATAAAAAGCATCCAATAAAAACATCCATTATCGAATAACACATTCCCCCGTATTCTTTGACATGCCTAAATAAAAAAAATATATATTTTATTTTTTGTAAGTTGGCATATGAGGAAAAATATCAAGGCACTAATTCTCAGGAATTATTAACAACTGTTCTTGACAAAACTCCTTTAGAGTGAAGATTCGGTTCCTTCCAGGTGGTTCTTCTCTTTTTTTCCTCAGAGGCTAGTCTCTTCTGAGACGAAGGTTTAATCTCTTCAGGGATCAATTACTGGCTATGAAAATAACGATACACATTACAGCACACACATCCCCCAGCACACACATAGCAACACATATTCGCCGGGGGATTGAAAATATGTATTGCTATGTATGAGCTGTGCGTGTGCTGCTATGCGTATACCAGCAACTGCTAATATTCGTTATTCGTCAACCTCTCTAATAAGAGTTCACTGTCAGTAGGTGTTCAAATAGGATGTATGGTTTTTGTGTCCTTTTTTTATATGATTACCTATTCGTATACAGTATATGGTAAGGTGTGGTTTTCATTTTCATTTTTTTTTAAAAGAGATAAAGGAACCTATTTTATACTAAAATGTGTATGCGTCAACGCGTTAATAATAATAGATGTTTGATATATTATTAGATCAAAACTCTAACATATCGATTAGACACATA